CCACAGTGCCGGAGTAAAAACTCCTTAGGATCATAGGATAGAGCCAAAACTTCCTCAGGTGTCTCAGGTGGTAGAGATGCTGCCTTGGCTTTTTTGATGGGATTTTTGTTTGTATAGTCTATGCTAAGATATTTGAAGCTGATCACCCTCTCCACTGCAGTCCCATAGATGTTGACAGGAATGTAGGACCACTGCTGGTGGGTATTTAAAAGCATGTGAGGACCACAGACTGAGCCAGAGACTCGTTGAAGATGAAGACTCTGGTCAGGCACCCAGAGATGTCGTACAGATCTAGCACTTTCCTGATGTTGACCCGCTGCGGCGTCCTGTGCACGTCACGCTCTGCGATGGTGATGATGTTACCGCACTCCATTAGCAAGTTATAGCTGTCACTAGCTGTGTGGCTAGCATTAGCACAATTAGCCTGAAAACAAGCATTGAATACATTAAGTTTGTGGGAAAACACTGACTCGACCCTTTCAGCCGCAGTGGCTTGATAGTCCATGATCGTGTGCAATCAGAGCCATATTTGGTCCGTGTCACCCTGGTGGAAGTGTGACTTCAAGGGACCTGGCAAAACAGTCCGTTATATCCAAAGTCTGTTATATCCAGAGTTGCTGTATGCCCAGAACACAACTACAGGACAACATTTACTCATGCCACACCACAGCAGACACACTTGTAGTATAAATTATTATATTGTACATGTAGTAATCCAACTTTACATGACCAGATGTGTGACTATTAATAATCCCGACTAGGTATCTGTGCTGGATATCACCGGCACGCCACGCGCCTTGTCGGCGGAGCCTGTATGTCTGTTATAGCGAACAAAACTACAGCTAGAAGCGGCCCTGGGGACTAAATGGTTTGTGCGTTATAAGCAAAATTCCATTATATGCGAGTCCGCTATATCCAATGCTTTTTCTGCATGTTCTTAAAGGCGCATGGCCGGGACCAGCGGACCTTGTCCATTATAGATGATATTCCATTATAAGCGAGCCCGCTATAATGGGATTTTACTGTATTAATACTTCTACTTAAGCATTACTGAAGTTTTTTTTCCTCTTAGTGCCAAGCGGCTCACAGCCTGCGCGTCTCTTCGCCATTCCTTGCACACGACCCTACAGTCTCATGCCCTTTTATGGGAAATTGCAGGGCATTTCCCTATGCTAATTAGGACAAACTGGCACGCGCTTTCAGTTCCGAAGATGTGGAATTCACCATTCTTAAGAACAAAGGTGCGAACAATTCTGCTACTTAAGAACACGTCATGAATCCGACGTAGGTTGCTCTTAACAAATTTCGTATGAACAAATTTAAGAGAATTCTTAAGAAAATATTGGTGAATGAGGCCCAATAATATTACAGATATTACAGATGTACTCTCTACTGCTGTGCTACACTTGGCATAACTTCTACATCTTTCTGAGCAGCTGTCTGTTGGGCCAAGGCACCGGGACTGCACAGTGGCCTCACGTGAGCCAGATGGCCAGGAGATTGCTGTAGTGAGGCTGAACTGCTGGGCTGCCATCCTGCATAACTACAGCAGGATCAGACAGCTGGTCCTGAGCAGTCTGTTTGCTAAGTGTGTTCAGCCAACATTTGGGATCACGTGATAGAAATTGGCTTTTAAAACCTTTCCCGCCATGATGCTGAGCTCGTGTCATGACTCCGCTGCATGACATCATCCTTCAACAGGGTCTCGCACGGTTCTCCTGCACACAAGCTCTGCTAAATATCTGTTAAATCTAAATTTCATTACTACTCTTCAGCACGATTATTAATCAAGATCATTTATTCTTACAAACGTGCTTTTCGAAAGTAACACGTCTCACCCAGCACCAGACGTCCATTGGACGCTGTTTTTTGGGCTAAATTGGAAACCTTCTTAACGCTACATCATTTGTAAGTTATACCTTAAGTTGTCGCTTAATGATCCAGTGTGTTTCCCAAAATGTTCTTAGTTAAGTGAATTTTCCATAAGACTCTTTCATGAAGCTGCTCTGAGCCTTTCTTAACTGTCTCTCATCACTGTTGTCGGCTCATACTGCTCATTTAAAATTAGACTAACATTGTTAAGGGTACAGTTTCATAACCAAACATCACTTAACTAAAAATAACTTGTCCATATGATAAAATTATATTGTCTGACACATGAGTACAATCTTAGTTAGGTCTCATCCTTGTGCTCTGAGTACGCAGCTAATTGGCCTCAGTAACACGTGGATCCATACTGAGAGATAAGGAATGCACTGTTGATTATGTATTTATTTATTAATTGGGAAGGGGGGGGGTTCTGCTGATACTGGGATGAACACGTTCTCCCAGTTTCCGATGCCCCTGGAATGCATACACCTCTCTAAATGTGCCAAAGTCATAGTATGTCACAGTCACATTCGACACTGCAGGTTTACCCCCAAAAAGCCCCCTGGAATAGTTTTTAGTCGTCATTACTGAAGCACATAGAACATTCTCTTATGTTCAGGCAGTAAAGCAACTTTTCTTTTGCCTATTATGCTATTGCTCGCCCCAGTATCAATAACAAGCACATATATCAGTGTACACAGGTGTTGTATAGAACAAATAAAAATAACATGATCATACTATAGTCTAGGGAGGCAGGTTCATGCACCCAATCTGCAAAAATCATATTTATGATTAGATGATTCAAGTTATTAACTTTGTATTTTATATTTTGATTCTGCCCAGTTCTGATTAATGCCTCTTATGAAGGATTCCTGCAGTGTTATATTTATAAAGAAAACCACCATCTCTCATGCTGCAGTCAAGCAGTTGCTGTGGAGGGAATAATCAGTTTTTGAGCCATCGATGTGAACTGTTCCAGTGCTTATTAAAGTCATACTTAAGAAGCTCTCCTTTGAGCAGATTGTTGGGGAAAAATATATAGGAAAACGAATACACTCTTAGAAAGGATCTTTTAAAATTGATACAAACTATGTCAAATTCTTACACATAATGGGTGAGATTTGGGACAACGTTCATTGTGTTATTTTTGACATAATCACTGTGCTAATGATTTTGACACAGTGAATGTGTCAGGAAGGTTAACACAAAGATGTGTATTCATGTGTAATATTAACACATTATGTGTTGTCATTGGCAACACACATCATGTTAAAAATACCGGAAGCCCCATGCAAAAAGTGTTCACACAAAAATTGCCAATGACAATAAAATACACAATCTAAGAATAAGACAGAAATCAAACAACTGTCATGGATTCAGGAGATTCTGACAGGAGGGCAGGGCATGGTGCAGGCAGGAAGGAAGGTGGACGACCTGCTTGCGGCTCACAGGACAAACGAGGTTTATTATAAGAACTGAAAACAATAAAAACCCTTGCAAAACGATAACAGACCAATGAGGGGTCAAAACTAAAAAGGGGAGAACAATGACTAACTACAAAGCGATTCAGGGCAACAAGGAGCAGGTTTGGTAGGCAAAGTACAAATGACATCACTGACCCACTCAAGAATTGAACTAAGACAGGAACTTTAATACAGAAACTAAAATGGATAATGACATAGCAGGAGTGAGATATGAGACAATTAACCAATCAGGGAGGGTGCAGGACAACGAGCAATCAGGAAACACACAAGGATCAGCACAAGAACAGGCAACAGGTGAAAGTAATAATTAACTCGGGAAACTGAACTAACAGAAAAACTAAGAAACAGAATCTACTCTAGGGGAATAACAGAGAGGTAAAATACAACCACGGGCACAAAGCATGAAACCAAAACTGAATACAAATCACAAGACATAGGAACTAGAAAAGTGATACAAATGAAACACAAGGGAACAAAATTTACAAAAACAGAGGAGGCAGGATTTGAACACAAGACTGAGGGGTTCAGAAGTAGCTGCATACTCAGCTCATTGAACTATGTGGCTGTTAGAGAGGCAGGGGAAACACTAAAGACTAACAACGGGGAAAAGGACACAGACTGGGACAACAGGAGCTGACCCTGACAACAGGATATAACAAAATTATAAAGTTTTCTTCCAACACAAAAGGTAACATGACAAATAATCACACATTCTACATCATTTCACTTTTTTCAAAACTACATATCTCGGATTGATGTAGATCTGATCAGCCGAAAAACTTGACTGAATATCAAGGGATCGGGAATCGGATAAACCATAAGGAATTTGTACAAGTCTGTACTCATCCAGCAAGGGCATTTTTCTGTTAAAATGCACATAAAGGAAATAAACATGTATATACCAAAACACTTGTAATTGTAGGAATTTTCTGGGAGAAATGGTGCATTTTCTGGAAAAATTCCAGGGGTACCAATAATTTCGGCCATGACTGTATGTATCCATATTTATATAATGTTTCAAGTGAGAAGGGTAAAATAGGTAATACTCTTTGAAACACGGTTATAAGGGAGGCACATAAAACACTTACATTGTCTAAGGACACAAACATAACCTATATGGATACTGAGACTAGCAATAATGAGTAAACAAATATACAGGATATACACAAGCCAAACTAAAAAGAGAGCTTTATTTGTATTTTTTATTCTGTGGTTTGTAAGGCAGGATGGAAAGGGAGCGGGGGGGTTGCATGCCAAGTTGAGGGCCCCTTATCCATTCTCATACCAGGCCTGGCCTTATCTCAGCCTGGTAGGTGATGAGGTGGCAAGTCAAGACAGACTTTGAGTGTTGTGCACACCGGCACAAAGGGAACAGGGAGATAGTATAGTGTACAACAGCTCTCGGCCAGAGAACAATTGCAAAGAAACAAACAGGACAAAGAAAAGTGCAGAACCGTATCCTCTTCAGTAATTTCCCGGGCACCGGTGAGCCACCCCAGGTCCTTACCAAAAACAACAACCAAATAAAATGAAAAGTTATCAAAACAAACAAACAGATAAACGAAAAAAAAATTGAAAAGGTCATCCAGATATCAGTAGTCAAGCCCACCACCTTAGTCTACCCTATTTGCGGCCGTCTTTCCTTACCTTTCTCTTTTGGTCTTTCGTCTTGGGATTTTTGGGAGATTTCACATTGAAAAGTTGTCCGCCTTTTGGTTCGAATGTGGCTTATTCCAAGCTTCTGCATCACTGTACACTGACAATAAAGGCTTCCTATTCTATCCTATAAATGTCCCGGTTCAGGGCTGCCCAGAGCGTAACTGAGTAACACACTTAATCCCCGCTCTCTGGTGACTGAGCGCAGCAGCCTGATATTGCAGCGGTGATGCTTTGGCCAGCAGGGGGCAGCAGACAGCAACTTCCTAATATGACATTTTATTAAATGACATTCTATTACCTGAAAATCAACAAAGTAATAACGTCTCTCACAGCCTACAGCGGTCCTGAGGTAACTTAGTAAAGATAAATAATATAATCAAATTAATCATATGTTAACTAAGCAAACATAAATAACATAAAATCTTAATAAATCACAGTGGTACTTCAGAACTCGAATTTAATCCGTTCAGAACATCGGATCGAATCCTAAACTTTCGAGTTGATTGAATTTTCCCCATAAGAAATAATGGAAAACCAATTAATTGGTTCCCGGCCCCAAAACATTACACGTAAATATGCTTTTTTTAGCATTTAAACACAAAATGAACCGGATAAAACAAGAAGAGCATATACTGTACTAAACACATCTAAGCACAAACAGTAATTTGTAAAATAAGAAAATAAATGTATCCAAACAATGTGTCTTGCCCCGATCGTCCGCTCCTTCCGTGTGCCACACCCCCTCATTAACCCCGCGTGGAATCCCCGTGTGATCAGCTATTTCTGGTTGTTGTCATTAGTCCTCTGTATTTCGTCCGCGTTCAGTTCAGTTTTTTTCCCCAGTTCGGTCATTGTATTGTCCGTCTGCGTTTTGCCTGCCTTACCTGTAATTAAACCCCGTATTCCCCGATACCCTAACATCTGCGCCTTTGTCTCCGTTCCGTCCCCGCTCGGCATGACAATATTATTATAATTAAATGTCTTAATGGTTTATTATTAATATTAAAATAATGAGTAAGAAATCTTTATTTTTAAATGTATTTTATTATGTAATAATAATAATTACTGTTACTGTCTATCATTGTCTAAATTTGATTTATTTTTGACGTTTGATTTATTTTTACTGTCTAAATACTTGTATTCAGCTAGTGTAAACATGCACGATGCTATCACAGCTAATGCGAGGCTGAGACTGAAGCTTTACCCTTTGTTTCCACTGAGACGTGCCATGTGACTCATTTCCCCGTGCATACAAGTTATCTTAGGTCGGCATTCACAGTTTGACCACTGAGATTCAGATCGAGCTCTAGGTAATTTTTTTTTTGAACTGGTTGGTTCGACTTTTAAGAAATTCGAGTTCTAATGAGTTCGAGAAATGAGGTACCACTGTAAAATCGCTAAAATTTTGTGATGTTGCAAAAAAGCACCTGGTCTTCAATGATGCAGTGTAGGTAATTACCAATTACAAGAAAAAAACATAAATTCTGTTTCATTAGGAATTCTGTGAGATTTAGACGTGGTGCACCTGCTCCCCTGGGGGTGGGTCTATAAGGTGGGTTCCCGGCTAAGGGGGGAGGAATCGATCCTGTGGCAGCCACCACGCCGGCTTTGGCTCTGCATCAGTGTCTCATTGTCCTTTTCTGTTATGTTTTCTCCTGTTTGTGCTCTTTGTTAATAAATTACCCCTGACAATCGAGCCATCCTGAGTCTGAGTCCGTTTATGATGCGCCTGACAGCAGCCGGAACGTAACACTTACAGAGACTAAAATGCATGAGCATGAGGGTTTACAGCCTATATGCACAAGCATTTCCCTCAAATCTGTGATATACTTACAGACAGTGACACACATGCAAACGGGAAAATTTATCCCCCTGGTGACACAAACACAGACATTTTTGTCTTCAAAAGCATACAAATTATTACAGTTGTGCCCAGTTACTGTGACACACACGTGTGACACACGTGTAAACTGTCCTTTGACAGTCACAGGGCGTCACTGTCGTTTCTCTGGGCATATCCCTAATCCTAACTAAGATAACTGTATCTTTTATCCAGCTCTAACCTGAACCGTAAGTAACCAAACCAAATATTAGACTTTTGGCTAATTTCGTTGTTTGATTACATTCACAAGTTTTTATGAAATTCAAGATTATATTGTGGAGAGCTGAAAAATGTTCCCATAAGCTAAAAAGTAACAGGTTTTGACACATTGTTGAGATATTTCTTCCTCACAATGCAGTAAATACAAACCTGTACACACACACATTCACATATACACTCTCATGCACACAGACACACACACACATCCTGCTCTCCTCCCATGAAGCTCGGTGCTCTAAGCTGAGCGCTCTCTGCTGCCCACAGCTGTTTCTGCTCCCATTCCTTTAATATGGAAGCCATCTGCTTGTGTTGATGTTTCGCCTGATATTTCATGCCAAACCTTCACGTGGTTTTGTTGCTGTTTTTCATACATAAAACTTATGGGTCCTGCGGTGAGTCCTGTATTATAATGTATTATATTATGTATGTATCTTTCCTAGAGACTGATCAAGAGAGAACAACTCAGGCAGTGAAAGCTGAGCTGCCCCTGTTATCTGGCCTGATTAACAACCTGAGAAACGTTTGATTTTAGTTTAACACTAAGAGAGATTTAGCAGCATGTCAGATTAATGGTGAGAACAGAACCAATAAATGACCAACATTAAAACTCATAAGCCTCTGTGGAAGAAGCAGAAGCCATTGGGCCATATTAAACACAAGGTCAGCATGTTGGGCGAATGACATGGAGGCAGGTATTTAAATGCCCAGGTATTTAAATGCCTCAGCCTGCTCTGTCTACTGTCCGCTCAGACTAAAAATTGATTTAAACTTTTGCGTATAATCTACATCGTTGGTACGGCGTAAGTACAGCGTAGCCACATACCCTATGCCGTAGCTTATGCCGTAGACTGATGGGCACCACCCCAGAAATGTAACAACGCGTCATGGTGCCTCAGACCGTGCACAAGTATAAATGCTCACTATGGCGTCGGCCACTTGCATAGGCCATGGCAAAAGTGTGAAACAGCCTTAGAGGGAGAAAGGTGTGAATGGGGAAAATCAGTCTGCCTCCTGCCCCCACAGCACAGCTCCTTAGTCTTGGAGATGTTAAGCCACAAGGAGTCTTCCCTCCACAAACCAATGACAGTCTCCCAGCGAGCTGGTATCAGTCAGCTGAGCTCCACGGCCGTGTCTTCTGCGTGTTTTAATTTAAAGAGTCACGTACTCCTTCTCTGATACGAGTGAATCTGGTTGAACAAGAGGATTGGGGATAAAATGCAACCCTGCAGAAGCCCTGTGTTTAAAATCAGAAGACATAGATTTAAAACCATTAACAACCACATGTTGAGGTCTGTCCTTTAGAAAATCATACAAACAAGTTTGGGTTGATCTGTTATCCCTGTAAACGAAGTGAGAATATTTACTGTAAGCAGAGGTCAAGTCTATAAATAAGATCCTGGTGTGAGGATATGCTGCATCCAGGGGCCTCATTCAAAAGAAAAACTGCATACGCATAAAAAATGGCATATAAATCGATCGATTTATCAATCCTGGTGTGCGCACATTATCCCGTGATAAATCTTGTGAATGTGCAGACATGCACAAGTCTGAGTTCGAATCTAGTTTGCGCCCACAAATAACCTTAAATTAACTGCAAATTAACTGCATGCTTATTTAATATGTAAATGAGGCCATTCTGGTTTCAAAGTCTGATACTGAAGGTCATAAAAACAAAACCAAAAAGAGGCATTTTTGAACTGCAAGGCAGAGGCAGAACAAAATGTCATTTTAAAATCACAAATAAGAAGATGTATAGATGTATATTTTGTAATAGCTCATTAATCACACATGTATATGTCATAATGCTGTTTTTTGCACTTTAAAACTATTTTGCACTTTCTGAGTACTGAGTTTCTGAGTATGTTGCTTAATGATGATAAAAATACACCAAAAGAGTATGTGGAAGTCCTACACATCGATTTTCTATCAGCTCTACAAAACACCCAGAAAATAAGTGGCCAGATCTGAGAGAAAGAAACGACTTAATACAGCTCAAAGTGCAAATCATACAGTAACTGTGTCCACAGGAAATAGTCACTGGATCCTTCAGTAGATCCAGACAGTCTGGACAGCTGAACTGGTTTGAATCCACTGGCTTCTTCCATTTTCCAAAAATGTTTTGTCTTGCCTCTGAAGCTGAGGTAGGTATGGTTTTGGACTGAGGCCTGACTGAGAAGAGCAGATCTGGCAAACACTGGAGTTGCAGTTTATGAATAAAATACTTCATTATACAAACTGTACACAAATCAAAGATTTATTTAGCATTCATGAGTATATCTATTACTGACATTGATCTTTTTCCCCCAATCTACAATCTGATATTGTATAGAGAAATTAGTGGGTGGTGTGTTGCTGCAGTGGTTAGCAGTGTTACCTTGTATCTCTGGGACTGGGGTTTGAGTCTCTGCCTTAGTTTTATGTCTGTGGAGTTTGCATGTTCTCCCCGAGTCAACATGGGCTTTCCTCCAGATACTTCGGTTTCCCTCCACGGTCCAAAACAGGTGAATTGAAGTTACCAGCTTGTCCAAAAGTATGACTGTGAGTGTGACTGTCACTATGAGTGTGACTGTCACTGTGAGTGTGACTGTCACTATGAGTGTGCCCTGGAATGGGTCGGCACCCCATCCTGGGCATCTTACAGGCTCCAGTCTCCCACAACCCCGAATTGGACACTGTATAGAAAATGTATGGGAAGAGAAATTATCTAGAAGGCAAACTGGTAGGAGATATCAGTTATACTGAGAATGAATCTCTGTGTCCTTTTAGACTTTTGTTAATCTTTTATTTGCTTTTTTCCTCAGATGAAGCGGATTTACTGCAAAAAGATGATGGGATCTCAGGCTGTCATGTGGCATAAGGTGTAACATGTAACATGCAGGTATATACAGTTATAGACAGAATGTGTCAGGTTTAGACAGAGAGCTTTTATGATCACTGTCAGCCCACAGATTTGATTTTTACATTTTTCAACATAATCCACATCGTAATGAGGGATCTGGCACATAAATGTCAGATTTCTTCATTTTGATTATGTTTCTTTGCTGCTATAATATAATATTTGAAAGAGCACAGTTCAATTCCACAATGGAGAGAGTGCAGAAACATTTATC